GTGTCCTGGAAGAAACAGACACGCTGTGGCGATGAAGGTGGAGGCGACAGTAGCAGCCATAGTAATAATAATAATACTTCCAAACCTTGGCAAGATTTTTTTTTCTACAAACTTTCCTTTCTTGAATTTACCAAGGTATTTAAAAATCGAAATCTCTTCTTGTCGGCTTCCCCCCACCCACCCCCTTGAAATATGAAATATGACATCTCTACTCCGGATTATTTGTCTTCTTGTATCTATAAATAAAATGGAATTTAACACTTTCACAAATAAAATACAGCCTGAAGTAGGATTTCGTTGTTATAAAATATGGTGTCCAACCACTCTCTATCCACCAGCCAGTCCTCTGGCTGTGGATTCGTGGATGTGACCCGCCCCGAATGATAGTTCTCTATCACTGATGTCATGGGGGGGGGGGGGGCGGTTCTTGGATTTGCACTTTTTTCTTTTAACATTTTGACTGAATATATATTATTTAAAATTAAAATGATAAAGCCTTTCTAGAAGCCACACGCTGGTTCCTTTCAGCTCAGGGCCGGCAGTAGGGTGGGTGGAGAGGAAGCGCCTTTCCAAAGGGCCCGGATGCCGCAGGACAGGTGCGTCTCAGGTGCTGTGCTAAGAGCTGGATGGGGCTGCGGGAGGGGCCTTCATTTCTCACTCCCGGATGAGCAAAGGGCCGGATGGGGGAAGCGCTGGACCAGAGGGGCCGGACTTCAGAGAGCCTGGGGGAGGGGAGCGCAGGGCCTTTGCGGTCACGAGCTGGTCGGTCTGTGAGCGCCATCTAGTGGGCACCCCGGGGCCTGCCGCCCATGATCCCCTCTCCTCCGAAGAAAGAGTTCAAGCCTATCAAAAACGCCATTTTAGCGGTTTGCAAAAGTTAAAGCGATTTAGGAAAAGATGTGCTGGACTCTGCAGTAAGCTATGCAAAAAAAAAAAAAAATGCATCGCAACATTTATTTGCAGTTTCTCTCAAGCGGGGCCGAAGTACAGCTGGTGTGCCCTGGGAGCGGGGGAGGAGGTGAGGCGAGGAGGGGCTGCAATAATTACCTACAAGCTGTATCTAGTCCCGTGGGTCAGTGACCATGCCATCCTGTTAGGAAATATTTCTATTTTATATATTAAAACTATATTCTGTTTAATTTCATAAATAAAATAAAATAAAACATTTTTAGTTTATTTAATTTCACCACTCGTCTTAAGTGTCTCCCGTTTAAGCATGTTGGCATTCTAATAAAAAATAATAGTTGATGACATCTATCATACTTTTACTTAGTAAGGAGAACTATGCAAATAATGTTGCCTCAGTCCATCCTCAAAGTCACCTGTTGAGGTAGTCCTATTACACCCTTGACGGAGAGGGAAACCCGGGCTCCAGAAGGCTAAGGAGGTGTCTTAGATCCTATGGCTTAAGGAAATGTCCTCACTTCATCACAGGCATCCTCATTTTCACAGCTGTGGGGGAGGAGGAAGCATTGTTCCCCTATTGATGAGCACAGAGGCAGAGAAACACGTTGTAGGCAGGACCCAGGTTCAGCATTTCTAAGCAGAAGCTTTAATTTAGTTAAAGGAGGCTGAGGTGAATTTGGGAGAGAGTTGATGTCTCTAGGTGCTCATAAGCATTTGCATATTTATGACGCCACCTTGTGATAAATAACTCAGTTCCTCCCTCAACAGTCAGGGTGATTTTTTTTTCCCAAAAAGAGAATTATTTTCTCAGAATACAGCCTTCTAATGATTTTACCACCTTGAAGGGCGAGTCAGACAGAAGCACAAACCCTTCACATAATCGCTCCCAGTTTTGTCATTCAGGGCTCATCACCCAACAGAACAGAATAATTCCTGAGCAGGAGGCTCTGATGGATGTGCCGCCCGACGGACTTTTTTTGGTGAATAGGTCATAAATATTAATGGTATTGACAGAGCCTTAGAAATTTGTCATGTCACATTTCTGCAACAGAAACACCCAGAATCCTGTCACTTTGTTCCTCCCATTGACAGCCACCAGTTTCTTTCCCAAACTTGTGTGGCTGGACCTATCTTTTCAGAAACTCCATGAGCAAAGGTTTTCCAGAGCCAACACAGGTCAACTGAATCCAACATCTCAGTGGGTTCTTTCTTTTTCTTTTCTACTTAACTAACTTTTGCCTGCATTCTGCTCTCCGGCCCTTTCTCTTTCTATCCTCAATTTTTTATCCCATATATATGTGCTCAGTCATGTCCAACTCTTTGTGACCCCATGGACTGTAGCCCGCCAGGCTCCTCTGTCCATGGGATTTCCCAGGCAAGAATATTGGAGTGAGTTGCCATTTCCTACTTTACGGGATCTTCCTGACCTAACGATCAAACCTGAGTCTCTTGTATTAACAGGTGGATTCTTCACTATTGAGCCACCAGGGGAACTCCAAAAAATAAAACAATAGAGGTTTATATTCTATACTGGAGTGGGTAGCCATTCCTTCTTCAGGGGATCTTCCCAACCCCGGGATCGAACACACGTCTCCTGCATTGCAGGCAGATTCTTTATCATCTGAACTCCTAGTAAATGGCATAACGTCACCCACCCCCATACCCTGTAAAGTGAACACTCTACTGACAGGTTTGCTGAATGTGTTCACTGGTGTCCACGTGGTGGATTATTAGCTGTGGGTAGCTGAATTGCCCTGCTCATTTACTTTGCATCCTCACCAGCATTTGCTGAATCAGTATTTTCTAGTTTAGCCCATTCTAATAGGTGTGTGGGGCTTCCCTGTGGTTCAGCTGGTAAAGAATCTGCTTGCCAAGCAGGATATGCAGTTTTGATCCCTAGGTCACGAAGATGAAAATGGGGAAGGAAATGGCAAGCCACTCCAGTATTCTTGCTTGGGAAATCCCATGGATGGAGAAGGCTGGAGGGCTAGAGTGCAAGGGGTTGCAGACAGTCAGACACAATTTAGTAACTAAACAGCAAGAGCAATAGGCATGTAGGGGTCATTGTGGTTTTAGTTTGTATTTTCCTTATGGCAAATGACGTTGAACATCTTTTCAAGAGTTTATTTCTCAGCCATATCTTCTCTTTGAGGACATAACTATGCCTTTCACCCAATAGGATTTGTTGTGGTGACTGTTTTTCTGCTGAGTTTTATGAGTTCTTTATATATAGAAGGGTCCACTGACCCAGAATGCTCTGCTCAGCTGATTTTTTTGGTCTCTTTTCACCTTAAAGGCCAAATTTTAGAGAGGCCTCTCCTGACCACCTGGATAAATTATTTCTTTCCCTCCTCATTCACCTGCAATTGCCTCTTGCAGATCACATCTATAATTCATACTTACCTGTTTGCTTCTGTATTGAATCACAAGCACTTTGTTTAGATGCTCACCAGCTGTTTCTCCAGCACCAAGCATGGTGTCTCGTATACAGCTGGTGCTTAATGAATGCTCTGTCTACAGGCAGAACCTTTGCTGCCTGGCTGGATGAGACTCACTTGCCCGGGGCAGGGTCCCAACTCTCCCACATGACCTTATTCAGGCTCCTCAGTCCTACAAGCCCTTGCCCTAGACGCCCGCTCCTCTGTCGCCTCCCCAGGGCATCACCTGCACCAGCTCACAGCTCAGTGCCCCTTCAGGCTGTTGCCAGAGAGGCTCTTTGGACTTTGATGTCATCCCCAGCTGCCCACCACCTCTGAGAGTTCCAAGCTCCTGTCCCCACCACTCTCCTGTCCTCAGAAAGCACCATGTCTGCACTCTGCTCTTCCAGAAGACCCCACAGCAGAGCTGCTGGGCTGAAGGAGCTGGCCCTTAAGGAAACAGAGAGACAGGAACCCCCTAGCCCTAACCCTGGGTTGATATTTGTTTTCCACTAGCGTGTGTGAAAAACAAACACAACTAGCTTAGTCGTGTCCGACTCTTTGTGACTCTGTGGACTGTAGCCCACCAGGCTCCTGTGTCCATAGGGTTTTCCAGGCAAGTATACTGGAGTGGGTTGCCATTTCCTTCTCCGGGGGCTCTTCCCTACCCAGGGATCGAACCCCAGTCTCTTGCATTGCAGGTAGAATTCTTTTACCACCTGAGCTATAGGGAAGTCCCTATAGTTTTTCAGTAAGCAGGAAAATAGGCAGAGATGGCCAGCATCTTGATTTTGTCCTGCTTTCTATTCAGCTGGGATCCCGGGCTCTTTGTTCTAATCACTCCCCAGACCCTTCTCCCTCCAGCCCGGATCTCTCTCGTCCACATAATGTCCCGCTGTCCCTAATGTCCTGATCAGCCCCTTGCCTTGGCTCCCAGGAACTCTCTGAGAAAGAGCCCAGAATTCTGTGCTAGTCCTTCAAGTGAGATCACAAGACGGGCCCTCTGGTCACAGAGAGTGTGACTCTGGCAGAGGTTCAGAACGGTGCCCCATTCACCGGGCACTATTACCCTTGGGACTTCACAGGGGCGCTGGATGCTAATCTTGGGGTCCTGGCCCCAGCGTGAAATCACATATTTTAAAAGAGGTTCTAGACCATGAGCAACATTTATAAGAAAAGTCCTTGAAAACAAATCACGTGACTCATGTTCATGTTAAGGTCAAAAGTGAATGAGAGTTGGAAGTTAAAGGAAAGATTGGTGAAAATGATGGCCTTGGAGGCAGAAGGTGAGAGGGGGACAGGGGTAGGAGCAGGGGATTGCAGTTCAGCCAAGGTGCTAAGGGAAAGTCCCTCTAACTTGATTTGAATCCGGAATTGTGTGCATGCCACACTCAGTTGCTTCATTCTCGCACACACACACACACAGACTTCTCGGGACACAGTTCAGTAACATCCACAAAAGAAAAGGGATTTACACAACAGACCCTGAATAGTTTCTAAGCAGGCATTATGGAAAGTAGGTAAACAAAATGCAATTTAAGGGTATTCCCCTTGTTCAAGCAGCTTCATCAGGTGCATAGGAAGCAGCAGACTGTAAAATGCTCGTGTTTCTTTGCATATTGAAAGTCTTCATGTAAAACATCTTTGTGACACTGATTCTGCAGCCTGACATCTCACCATTGCAAGTGGGACAATGCCCACAAAGGAGGTCTGGCTGACAAAGATCTCGGAGATGACCAGCTCCCTCGGGGCGTCCTCCACAGGGTACTCCACCTGCCAGGTGATCTGCTGGGCGCCAGACAGGCCACTGCTGTTGTCAACTCCAAAGTCCACTTGCAAGATCTCGTAGAAGGAGCCATTTGTTCTGGAAAACAAACACACACGGTAAAGTGCAGTTTAAAACTGAGATTCAGCAGAATGTCAAGCACGAGATGAATTGCCACATTCCTCTTTGTCAAACTGAAGAAGGATCGCCAAGTTCAACAAGTCACACAGCAGTGTCGATAGAGCCTGATTCACAGGCTGCCACAGATGACCCACACCTCAGAGTGGACGGACCATCCGTCTTCAGGGCGCTGTGGAAAGCTGACCGTCCTTCCCCGAGTGAGCAGCTCAGACCGCGCTGCATCTCTGGGCACTGTCACAGCTCTGTCCTCCCCAGCCCCGCGTGTGCCTCCACCATGATCCAAGAAACACACACAGGACGCGGCCAAACCCTTCATCTAGGGCCACCATCACTCCAGCCCTGAGACGTAGCCTGGATCTGGTTGCTTCTATTACTACTTATCTGTGTGTCTGTGGACCTGTGGTTCAAACTCTGAGCTTTAGAATTTGGGAAGAATATCAGTGGCCACCTAGCCTTGTGGGAGCATCATGAGACCAATCTTGGGAAAGGACCCCAGAAGGTACATGGGGTTCATGTACCTTCATGAACATCATGACAAGTTCATGACATCAATTATGAGATGTGCAATAAGGGACTATAGTGGATTCACCTGAAATGGGATGGAATATAAGAAAAACCCCACCTGGAATGTTAGTTACAGGGATGTAAGTTGGTGCATCCATAGTGGAAAACAGTATGGAGGTTCCTCAGGAAACTGAAAATAGAACTACCATATGATTCAGCAATTCCACTCCTGGGCATATATCTGAAAAAAAAAATGATAATTCAAAAAGATACATGCACCCCTATGTTCAAAGCAGCACCATTCCCAGTAGTCAAGACATGGAAGTGTCCATCGATAGATGAGTGGATAGAGAAGATGTGGTACATTTATGCAATGGAATACTACTCAGCCATAGAAAAGAACAAAATAATGCCATTTGCAGTTACATGGATGCAGTTAGAGATTTATCATAGTGAGATGAGTCAGAAAGAGAAAGACACATGCGATGATATCCTTTATATGTGGAATCTAAAATATGGCACAAATGAACCTATCTATGAACCAGAAATAGTGTCATGGATGTACAGAACAGACTTGTGTTTGCCAAGGGTGAGGGAGTTGGGAGAGGGATACAGAGGAAGGTTGGGATTAGAAGATGCAAGCTATTAAATATAAAATGGGTAAACAACAAGGTCCTATGGTATTGCCCAGGGAACTATATTCAATATCCTATAGTAAACCCATAATGGAAAAGAATAAAAAAGAATATATATATATGTCTGTGTATGTGTGCATGACCGAATCACTCTGCTCTATAGCAGCAATTAGCACAACATTGTAGATGAACCACTCTTCCATAATAAATAAACAAAAAGAAACCCCCACCTGCCTTCATTCATGGAGTAGCAATATGGTACATGTATTTGGAGGAGGGGGAAAAAAGCGGATGGGGCACGTGTAAGTGAAAAGGACTCTCAGCATCTTTTGGTTCAGGGAAAGCCTCTCATCACTGACATGAACTTATGAATTGTAGGCTGACTCCTGCATTAAATAGAAAGTTCAAACAAAAAGCCACCCAGCATGGGATTTGTGAATGACTTCTGTTGTTTAAGTCTGTGTCCATCACCCTGCTTCTAACTTTACCTGGATCCAGGGAATAAGACAGCAAGAGTCTTTATTCTGGTTTCCCTGGAAAGAAAGTGTCCAAGCAGAGCAGCCAGACTTAGGATCCACTAATTCACTGGGCTTGGGACAAAGAGACTGTCCCAGGTTGTCTGGCACCTGGCCCTGGGGTGATGAGGGCAGGTGGATAGTGGTCCTGAGTGTGAGAACTCCAAAAGGGAGGTGGTTGGGGTGGGGACTCTAGATGGATGGTTTTTTACTCGCAAAGCTCACTTCAGGGCTTCCTGCTGTCTTAGGAATTGCTGATCTTGGGAAGAGCAGTGTCTTATGACAGCAAGGGCCCAGATGTCAAAGCATCAAGATACAAAAAATAAAAGATGTGGGTAACACAGCCTAACCCAGAAGCTTGCCTTCAGAGACCACTTCCAGACATTGCTTGTCAGCTTATCACTCACAGTGACAGTAAAGGTCATTTTCAAAAGGGAGAGAGAGGGGGACTTTCCTTGTTCTGTAATGATCATGTCCTCTCATAGATTATTTTACTCTGATCAATTTCAGGATGTGCCAAGGATGCGATGACAAAGCTTCTCTTACTTTTCACAGTCCCGGAAATGGATCAAGAGAGATTGTTTCTGGTATTTGAGACTTTTTTCTTTTTGTCTTTTTTTTTTTAAATGTTTTTCCCCTGAGCATTAAACTTAAGAGCTGACCAAAAAGCAAGGTAAGTTCTGAATGATGACTACATTGAATGAACCCAAAGCATCCTTGACTTCATGTCCCAAGTGATCCTCATTGTCAAGGTAACTTGTCCAACCTCTGACTTCCTCTGCATAGAGTAACTTTATGAGAACAAAAAGTGTGTCTGTGCCATTCCCAGCTCCACCTGGCATGGTGCTGGCAATTGTTCTATTTCATTGTTTGTTTAATGATTAAATATCCTCAAAATTCTGGCAGGGCATCCTGTAAAATTCTGGGGATGTAGTTTATACTGTGGGAGACAAGGAACTACCAGTCAACTGAGTCTTCAACTGAATTCTTGGGCTTGTCTGGTGAGGATATTAAGATGCACTTTCCTTCCAGGTGGAGGAGTCTGTCTCTCCTATTGGAACATTAGTTCTCAAGTAGGGAGAAGCGGTAGCTAGGGATGGGCAGGTACACACTGCTATATTTGAAATAGATAACCAATAAGTTCCCTGTGTAGCATAGAAGACTCTGCTCAATATTATGGTGACAACCTAAACGGGAAAAGGACTTGAAAAGGAGTGGCTACATGTGTATGTATAATGGCTCCCTTTGCTGTACGCCTGAAACTATCACAGCATTGTTAATCAACTCTAATATAAAAAAAAAGTTAAAAAATAAAAGCACTACAACAATTATAATAAAGGGGGGAAAGAGCATTAGTTCTCAAAACTGGGGGCAGTTTTTGGAATTTTTGGCAATGTGTAGAGAGGAGTTTGGGTGTCACAATTTGGGTGACACTATCAGTGGGTAGAGACTGGAGATGCTGCTTGATATCTTATGAAGAACTTGGTCCAGTGGTTAGGAATCTGCCTGCCCACGCAAGGGATGTGGGTTCGGTCCCTGGTCTGGGAAGATCCCATTGCCACGGGGCAACTAAGACCCTGAGCAACAACTACTAAAGCCCAAGAGCCTAGAGCCCACGCTTCGCAATAAAAGAAGCCAATAAGAAGTCCACACACTGCAACTAGAGAGTCATGTCCACTTGCTGCAACTAGAGAAAGCCCATGCAAAGCAATGAAGACCCAGTGCAGCCAAAAAGAAATTAAATATCTTATTAAACACAGAACAGCTGTTTCATCTCCCCTCCATGATAATTTTCTGGCTCAAAATGTTCATGGCCCCAGGGCTAAGAAAACCTACACTTGAACTTTAAGGTTTTCAAAAGCCAGAGCCTGTTTTTAACACCGTAGAAACTCCAGGGTTTAACTTAGTAACTAGTATATTTTTATTTAGCACCAATAAGTGCCAGAAAATGGAAATACAGAGGTAAACAAAAGTGATGTAGCCTCTGTGTTGGTAATAAAGTAAATTAATCCTAAGTAGCAATAACTGTTATCATCAAAATCAAATAGAGGAGTTTAATATGTATCCAAAAGCTAAACAGCAAATTAAAACCATAGGGAGATATCACCACACACTTATCAGAATGGTTCAAACTATATATGTAAATGCCGGCAAGAGTTCAAAGAAAATGAATCAATTATAAACCTATATATGAAGATTCATAGCAGCTTTATTTGAAAGAGCCCCAGTCTAGAATAGGGCTTCCCTGATAGCTCAGTTGGTAAAGAATCTGCCTTCAATGTGGGAGACCTGGGTTTGATCCCAGGGTTGGGAAGATCCCCAGGAGAAGGAAAAGGCTACCCACTCCGGTATTCTGGCTGGGAGAATTCCATAGACTATGTAGTCCGTGGGGTCACAAAGAGTCAGACACGACTGAGCAACTTTCACTTTCACTTTCAGTGTAGAATGTTGCTCAAATATAAAGGTTATACAAAACTGTAGTGTGTACATTCATACCAGGGAGCACTAGGAAACAGAAAAGAACACCGTTAATTTAAGCAATAGCTTGGATGAATCTCAAGGCAATTACCAATAGGATGAATGAAAGAGGCCCTTGTGAATAGCATTTAGTGCCCTTATGGGAAAAAAAACAAACCCAGAGAGCTCCCTCACCCCTCTGCCATATGAAGTTGGCATCACCAAACTTGCATCACCAAATCTCCCTTGTTGGTGGATTCTGATGTTATTATTTTAATCTCAAATATATTTCTCCAGCATGTGTACTCTATGAAGTTTCCCATCTGGCTCTTTAATGATCTAACAAGTAATCCAGTGACTTCCCTGTTGGTCCAGTGGCTAAGACTCCATGCTCCCATTGCAAGGGGATGGATTTGATCACTGGTCAGGGAACTGGATCCCACATACTACAACTAAGGGTTCACATGCCACCACTAAGACCTGGCACAGCCAAATAAATAAATAAATATTTTTAAAAACAAAAACAGAACATAAGCAGGTAATCCAGTCCCTTGCCCTACTTTCCATTCACAGGAAAATAATTTTTTTCCTTTCTCTCTCTCTTTTTTTAAAGTGAAATTTACTTTGCAGACGGGTATGAGTGACCTTATTTTTGCTTTGCCAACACTTCCCAGAGCTGAAAGCAATAAATCTTGATAATGAACAAACACTTTGCTTTCTTCTGCTTTCTCAGCTGCCAGATCCACAGCTATTTCTCACGTTAACAGCTCACACTCACTTCCAGCTTAGTTGATTTTATCAGCATCGTCATGACCAAGTTCAGCCACAGCTAAGACAACTGCTATAA